CTTCCTAAGTAAAATCATATGCAAAAATAAGGATTTAAATGGGTTTTGTATGGGAGATTAACAGAGAAGTACAACCAATTTTTCCTTAACAAACTTTTTTTTTCCCCTGCTTATACAGTTTCATCACCATAATGTCAGACATCTATGACATGCTCTCCAAATTCATTTGGCAGCTAAGTTCATACCTGGGGATATTCTCTACATCTGTGATAACGTAACCCAAAAGTTCACACCTGCAGAAATGGTGTATTCACATCACATTAGATCTACTTCTTCTCTTACCAAAGTCTTTGAGAGCTTTTCCATGGCTTTTATTCAGAGCATGAAAAGGAAAGAAACTTAAAGTAAGCAAGGAACATAAGGTACAAACAAGGTACAACCTAGTAAGAGTTACACTGTTGAAATAAATTCCACATTCCTATGAGGCACAGCCCCAAGTGCTGCCATATTATGTAAAATAAACAAAAAAGGGCCTGTTCCATAAATACTTTTACAGTCAGAAATCACTTAAACACATCGAGTCAATGCACTTTCATTGGATATACTTCCAGCTGCTTCACACAATATACTCTCTACTCAAGTACTCACAAGCCAGAGTCAGAGTCTTCAAAGCCAAGTGGATATTTCATTTTGCCAGTTTTTCCTTTGTTTAATTTGAATTTTTTTACAGTTCTTTAAAAGAAGGACTAGAAAGGAAAAATAAGGCACAAGTAAAAGGAATGAAGCTGCATCAGGGCAAGTTCAGACTGGACACTAGGAAAAGTTTTTCACTGAGAGGGTGCTTGGTCACTGGAACAGCCTCTTTAGGGAACTGATCATGGAACAGGCATCAAGCCTGTCAGAGGTCAAGGAACATCTGGACAATGCTTTTAGCCATATGGCTTAGCTTTAGGTAGTACTGCGAGGAGCAGGGAGTTGGACTCCATGATCCTTATGGGTCCCTTTCATATTTGAGATATTATGTGGTTCTATATAAAAATAATATCTACAGAGATGGTACGATAACCCTAAGGTTTTTTTGCTGACTTAAAGTATTTGTCTCCTTTCCCCTATATTGTGGGGAATAAGCTGATAGCTGGAGGGCAGGACTGTCACTCAGAGGGATCTCAGCAGCCAGGAGAAATGGGCTGACAGGAACTTACTGAATTTCACCAAGAACACATGCAGAGTCCTGCAATTGGGATGGGGTAAATGCATGCTGAGGGCTGACTGCCAAGAAGGCAACATTGCAAGAAAGGGTCTGGATGTTCTGGCAGACAGCAAAGTGAGTATCAGCCACCAATGTGCCTTTGCAGCAATGAAGGTTAAACACATACTGGTGTGTATTAGCAATAGTCAAGGGAAGTGATTACACCCCTCTAAATAGCACTAGGGAGAGTACTGTGTCCAGCTTGGGACTCCCCAGCCCACATACTGGAGTGAGTCCAGCAGTGAGCCACCAAGGTTGTTGCAAGAAGAGGCAAATGAATTTGTTTAGCTTTTAGAAGGCAAAGCTAAGGGGAAGAAACTTTACTTCTGTTTTCATCTACCTAATAAGAGGGTATTGAGAGGAAAGAATCATATTCTCAGAAGTGAACAGGGATGAGAGGCAACAGATACAAACTGTAACTACAGAAATCCCAAATGGATATCAGGAAAAAAAATGTCACAGATGGGTGGTTGAAGATTGGAACTGGTGCACAGAGAGTCTGTAGTATCTCCATCCTTGGAAATATTGAAAACTTGACTGGACAAGATTCTAGATAATGTAACATAACTTTAAAATTGGCCCTGTTTTGACAAAGAAGTTGGAGCACATAATCTTCAGAAGTCATCTCCAGTCAGAATTACTCTATCATTGCATGAAAGTGTAGAGTGTTTTCTATATAAATCTGTTTTCATCACTATTAAAGTGCTCTTGAATTTGTTGAATGCTGAATATGATGCATGGCAAGGTGGCATAACAATTCAGATGCTTCATATGAATGTGTTTCTGTCCCACACACAGCTTCACTAGCTGCCCAGTATGGTTAGCCATTTAGAGAGAAAAGTATCTTTATCCCAGTGTCACAGATAAGTTAACATTTTAAAAAATTCCAACCTGTCATCTTTCCTTTGCATTACTCACAGGATTGCAGAAGGACAGAGAGCTGATTTTCAAACATTTGCATAGAGAATTCAGCTTCAAATTTTTATTTGAAGTCAATGTGCAAACCTTTAGCGGTCTTCACACCACCAAAGAAAAATGTCTGGCTTGGACTAGATGGACCACAGGCTAGGAGATTTGGGGAACTTGCCCAGGCCCTGCCAGGCATGAACATTGCTTCCTTTGAGAAGTGAGGCTTTGCTTCTGACTCAAAAGTGAATATGATCCTCTTTCCCAATGAGAACTGAAATCAAAACATATTTATACTTTTCAGTATGAAGAGGACATATCACACCTATTTTAATGTTGTATCCTTACAGCATTCTTCTGCAAGCATCCACAGAATTTCAAACAGCACACTGATCTGAGTGGTGAGCTGTTAAGTTGCCTCCCCCCATGTTTGATCTGAGCTTTTTCTTGTCATTTAGCAGACATAATCATTCAAACACTAACAAGACCACACATCCTCCCTTACATTTTTCCCTCAGGTTTTGTGCAAAATAGTGACTGCAGTGTGGAGCCAGAGGATAGACACTGCATTCTCTCTGTTTGAGTTTTAGTCTATGATATTTTTCAAAGTCTTTCGGTCCAGTAAATGGTGCAGCTTCTCCAAGAGTATACTTCATAACCTGTGAGGGATAGAGGGATACATGTTGAGTTCTGCTCATGTCCCTCTTCTCACTTCTATCTTCTTTGGGTGGCAGGTTGATTAAAACCTTAGTGAGGGAAATGAGTGCTAGAGTGCCTGTCTGATGAAAAAAACACAGGCCATCCAGCAAATAGAAGATAGTGTAAAGAGATTGTCCTCGAGTGGCAGGAAGGGAGAATGAATTGAAACTGGACAAGTCAGATATGGTTCAGTCCACCAAACAGAGCAGTGGGAATCTCACCACCTCAACCTTGGCTTTACCTGGAATGTCTGAATGTAGATGATTACCACCAAGACACAGGGCTTATGAAAAAAACAAAACAAAACAAAACAAAACAAAACAAAATCCCACCTGGATTTTAACAGGCCTTTCATTTCTTTTTTATTTATTTTTTGTTTAAAGTAATGACCTCTGCAACATAACCAGGAAGCAAAGCAAAGCAAACAGAAATGCATGCAAGAAAGACCCACAAGGTTTCCATTATATTGTAATCGGATGATGAGTTATTAGTGTCAAGTATTTTTTTGACCTAAGAAGTTTACTGTTCCTCAAAATACTTATAATATCAACCCTGGACACAACTAAAAGAAAGAGATAAGAAAAATAACAATCTTGTCCCAAAGAAGGTGTATATGTAATGTTTCATTCGTGGTAGATATTTTTCCAACTCTACTTCAGGAAGCACTTAACATACTCTTAGCATACCTGTTCACTAATCTACTTTTGTCTCTGTAGACTATATTAATAAACAGCTTTATCATAAAAACTTGTGTTACAACATCTTTACATTTCTCATGTCTGTACACAAGGAACCTGAAGCAAACACAGGCATTGTTTGAACTCAGCTCTCAGGATTTTAATAATCAGAAACTGAACAAGCTCACAAGGCTTATTTTCCAAAGCTCTGTAACTCTCTTCAGTTGCATGCCAGCTGGTTTCTAGCACGAGCCAGAGAGATGACAGCAATCATCCCCACTAGCCACTTATGATGACTAACTGGCTTTCTCCTGCTAAGTACCAGTACTGCACTGCTCTCATGGCTTGCCCTGCCGACCTGCTCCATTTGGTGGGTCTCTGTGAGACTGACAGCTCTCAGGAGTGCTGCAACATCACAGGGCACAGACAGAGCCTTGTTACAGAGGACAGACTTCCTATATACTCTTGCTACATTCCCCACACCCCTGTTTTCTTAAAGCAGATTTGGCACACCCAAACCTGCAACCTTTCTGCACATTGGGGTGATCGCCACGTGCAACAGACCTCCCAATATTTTATTTTTTTTTTTTTAAGAGTATGACACGGTAAAGATGACACAGCGAAGGGAATAAAATATCTGTGTCCTCAAATTTAAAGATGTTTGGGCCTGTCCTTTCACTTTTGCTCCTGACAGCATCCTAAACGCCCGGCGATGCGCAGAGACGCCCGAGGGCACATCCCCGGCCCCGCAGGCAGGCAGGGGGAACACACAGCAGGCCGGCGGTAGGGCTTGCTTTCGGCCACTGCCCCAGGTTCTTTTTTTTTAACAAATGCTTTCGGGGGGGAAATATCTTTGACATGTTTAAGGAGCAGAAGGCAGGTAATAAACCCTCCAAGCGGGAGCCTTGTCCGGCAGGATCAGCGGGCTCTGCCGGAGCCGGGACGGCGCTGGCTCAGCCCAGGGGCAGCAGGGACAGCGCACTGCGGGCGGCGACCTCCGACACCCCGGTAATGGAAACGCCTCCCGGGCAGCTCTTCCCAGGGCCGACAGCGGGCAAGACCGCGGTCGCGGCCGCATCGCTGCGGGAGCCGGGGCGGCCCCGCCGGGCTGAGGCTCCGCCCTCCGCGCACCTGCCGCGGGCCACCCCCCGGCGCGGGAGGCGGGCGGGGGCGGCGGCCGCCCGTGCCCGGCGTGTGCCAGGAGCCCGCCGGTGCCGCGGGAGGAGCAGGAAGCGCCCGGGCGAATCCAGCCGCGCTATCACATGACTCAGCAGCCGCTGCCGCCGGGCTGAGTTCACCCAGCGCCGCGCCGGGAGGGGGAAACCTGCAATGAGGCCGCGGTCCCGCGGCTACCCCTGAGCCCGCCGTTCCCCCGCCCCGCTGTGCGCGGCCCGGCGTCCCCACTGCGGGAGCGCGGCGGGCGCTGCCGGAGCCGCCGCCGTCGCCGCCGCAGCGCTGCCCGCCGGCGCGCCCCGCAACCCGCCCCGCGCGGCGGCCCCGGCGCTGCCGCCGCCGGCGGGGGTACTATTATGCTCACGCGGGTGAAGTCCGCCGTGGCCAATTTCATGGGCGGCATCATGGCTGGCAGCGCGGGCGCCGACCACGGCAGCGGCGCGGACTTGCCCCTCCGCTTCCCCTACGGAAGACCCGAGTTCCTGGGACTGTCCCCGGACGAGGTGGAGTGCTCCGCCGACCACATCGCCCGCCCCATCCTCATCCTCAACAAGGACACCCGGCGCCTGCCCTGGACCACGGGCTACGCGGAGTGAGTACGGACCGCGGCCGCCGCGGCGAGCAGGTGGAGCGCGGCCGAGCCCATTGCCCCTGCTCCCGGCGCACCAGCGGCGAAAGGCGGCGATACCGGGGGACCCTCCTCCGGCGGTGCCGGCGCTGCCGGAGGCGGCAGGAGCGCAGCCTGGGGCCTGCGCGGCGCCGCGGGCAGCGGGAGCGGCGGGGTGGGCGGCATCCGCGGCGCCGTGTGTCCGGCCCCGAATGTAGCTCTTCACCTGGGCAGCTCCTTCCTGGGAGCCCAAGGATGCGCATGGTCTGCTGCCCTTGAAAGTCCCCGCGGGAGCGGCCGGTACCCGGACGGGCGAAGGATGGCAAGGGGCAGCACCGGGCTCCTCTACTCGTAGTGACGGCTCTGGGGGCGCAGGGGCTGAGAATGGGGTACCCGCCGGTGAACAACAGTCTCGGTCCTTGATCTTCGAATGAAAAGGGGCCTTTGGAAGGAAACACGGTTTGGTAAATGCTTCCCGGTGCCCAGAAATGATGAAACCTGTGGGGTTTGGGACACTTTCCTGTGGACCTGGCAGCCGACGCACTCGCTAGTGGTGGCTGGTCACATATTCCCCAAGTGCTTTCCAGTTTGGGGAGACACTTGAGGAACACAAGCTCCAAACTGAAAGAAAAATCCATTAGCAAGCCCCAAAGCTGGGCTGGCTTTCCCAGTGGTTTGTTTCCCTGACTCACTCTTATCATGGTATTTACTTTAGAGGGTGTCTGATCAGGACCTGGTTGTAGCCTTGCCAGCCAGGCAAAAGGCAGTGTTCGTTTGGATGCATCCAGCTGGCAGTGGGAGTAGCTTCGGAGTCAAGGCATGTCCTTGCACTTGATTGCTGTATCGGTAGACACATTGTTTTTCTTGATGATACTGGGTGCAGGATTCAGTATTTGGTTTCCTTCTGTTACTGTCTCTAAGTCTTGAGCATGAATCGCCATTCATGTTGCTACCAACTCTGAGATTACAGAAGTTAAACAAAACTACAGACTACAGGCTGTTTTGCTGTAGTCTCTTCAGGCATACATGAATTCCCCAAAAAACTATTGCAAAAGCTACAGCGAAGTCTTCACATTATTAATGACCAATCACTAGCTTTATTTAAGAGCTTGTTCTGTCATTGGAGGATGCTGAAATTGGATGAGAGATTTTAAGAATTTTAAATTTGATTGTTCCCCTCAGATTATTAAGGAATTGAATAGACTACTGAGTAAATTCCCCAGGAATTAGAATTTTATATATTTTTAAATAAACTCTAATTGTTCTGCCACTATAATAGTTCCTTAAAAAGCAATTCTTTACCAAAACAAATACATGCTGCTATTTTTAGGTGAGGTGAAGTGCTGTGGTTTTCAGCAAGTAATTGTAATTGCAAGTTGATGACAAAGTGGAAGGGAGGTTTCTGGCTCTCAGGTATGCACATCCACTGCTGCCTCTGAGCTTCCCTGAGACTATGGGAGCAAAAAAACGTGGGTGTTGGAAAGTGAAAGGGCAGGTTGACCCTGTTTATGACATCTGATGTGAGGGAGTGTTTGGAGATACAGTAAATGGCTCTGGTGATCAGGAAACCAGAACAGCATACCAGGATTGTTTCTGTATACTTGTTACTCTTCCCTCTTGAGCTTTGAGCAGTTTGGTTAATTGGGAGGTGTGCACTGGCTTTCTCAGTTTCTGTTGTAATCTATGTGGAAAGAGATTGGCCTTTTGCTTTATCTTTGGTGTTGTGGGGTTTTTATTTGTTTGTTTGTTTTTTCCCTTTTTTTCCTTTGGTCTCATTCCCTTCCCTTGCAGTTACTGGCTCTAGTGTTAGTGGAGCAGAGCTAAGTGAAAGGTTGTACTTGTTAAGAGAGAGAGAAATAGTGAATGTGCTACCAGGCTCTTCCCAAAAACATGGATGTGATGTTCCAAAATGGAGTTTCATTGTAACCAGAAGATATCAAAATGCTTGCTGTGCAGAAGCTGAGAGGAAAGCAGTTCCACCAGAATTGCATTGTCTTCCAAAGACAAAGTGTTAATGAATAAAGAAAAAGAAGAAAATATGGATAAATTCAGATTTTGCCAAGTATTACTTTTTTTTTTTTTTTTTTTTTTTTTTTTTTTTTTTTTTTTTTTTTTTTTTTACTCCTACTGAGCTATTATCAGGCTTTGAAAATAATTGCAAGACTTGCTGGGAGGTATACACTGAAACTATGTTTTTCTTTTGGAAAACTCATTTGAGTTACATAGAGAAAAGAAATGGAAAAAAATAGCAGGAAGGTGAAATTACTTTTATACATGTTCTGTTGGCCTGAGGAAAGCAGAGGATAAAGTACTTTCATGCTAATATTTAGCATTTTGTTAGTGTCTGTATCAAGGAAACTGTCACAGCAATGTTTACCTTTTGTTATAGTGCAAGTGAGCATTTGCAAGAATCTTAGGAGGAAGTCTGGTGTTCTCACAAGCAGCTTGTGACATAACACAAAGGTTAGCCATTCAACTCACATTTTACTAGTTTGCTTTGGTATGAAGACCTCAGAAAAGATGTACCCTACCTGCAGTGTGGCAAGGTCCAGTTTGCCTGAGCCTTTTCTGTGTTTTCATGTTTTAGCAAATCAGGAAAAGTGATTTCAGTGTTTTGTTGCTGGGAATGCTTCTGGACACGGGGGATTTTTACTTCATGAAGTTTGTTTTAGTTGTAAAACATGTCAGTTCACAGATGATCCTAGAGTTCCTTGATGTAGTAGTGTTGGTGTTTCATCCAAGATGGAAAAGGCATTTTGGGGTTAGACTTGGTTCCCATGCAGGACTGAAGCAGTCTTAGTCTACAAAATATTTCAGAGAAATCCTTCTGTTTCTTTGATTCCCGAGGATCAGTATTTCTTACTAAAAAAATGTATTTCAAAGAAGCTCGCCCTGTTGGCTACATCTTCTCCCTAGGATCTGTGTAGTATATACCTATTCCTCTGACTTGTTCCCCTGGAACAAGCGCTTCTCCTCCTTTCCTTTTTTCTTACTTCTCTTGGACTGAACTTTTTTTGTAATGGGTATTTTTGCCATATTGCTCATCTGTGTCATATTTTTTAACTTATTTTTAAAATTACCTACTTATCTTTGCTATTATGTAGTGAAATGTAAATTAGCCTGTATTTTTTATTATTAGCTTTCTCTGTTTTATTAGGGTGATTGTTATGCAAAGCATTTAGGCAGGCAAACGAAATCTTCAAAAACGTTCTTGGTGCTGGGATAAAACATCATTGTTTCCTGAAATTTCATTGGGAATCCCACAGGGACTCAGTTTTCCTTAGTCAGTAAGCAACCTGAAAATTGTCTTCTGAAACGATTGTCCTGCTGTCTCTTCTGTCCATGGGAGATCTGAGACCTTGAATTTCATTTTACCTCATAATACAAGATGGCAAAAGGCCAGTAGATGTTTCGAAGAGATACTCTTGTACCTCAGACACTTGTCTAGTGGTTATCAAACTTCGTAGAAGCAAAATGAAAATTGTATCCCACATACAGTAAGCTTTTTGTCTTTAAATAAAAAAATAATAAATAAAATAATATAATTTAGAAATAAACTTCTCCTTTTAATCAAGGGCATCCTTAACATAGTTTTCTGCATGAGGTTAGCTGATGTGCATCAGGAATGACCCAGGGAGAAGGTAGTCTGTTAACAAACATTCTTTTAAGTCTGCCTTTAATCCAGAGGAGTAAGGAGATTTGCTGCTCTCTGAAAAATTAACTGATTTATTTGAGAAAGGGGGGTTGGGAGGGATCCTGCCTGACACTTTATTTACTTGTTGCCTTTCCTCCCCTCTGCAAGCAGCTGCACTCCTGAGGCCACTGGGCTTTTTTAGACCTTTCCCTGTCTGAGCCTCGAGCTGGTTTCTGAGCTTCTGCTTGGATTACCCTGTTAATGGAAGGGAAATTTCTTTTTTGGTCCCTTTCTGTGCTGTTTTCAATGTGTTACAACCTCTTCCCTGCAGAGCTGCTGCTATTAATCTGCCCTCAGCTCCAGAGTTAAACTCTGAAAGTAAGCACTGAAGTAGAGGCAGTAGCATAGAGTATGTAATGTGAAGTGACTCAGATGGTATTCACTGTGTCCAAACTCTGCCCAGAACATTTTTTTTCACCTTTTCCTCTTCTGCTTTATCTTGTTCCCTCTGTGAAGGTGGAGGACGAACAGGATGTAGCAGAGCCTTACTCTCCTGGTTGAATTACCTTGACTACATATGGTGCAATAAAATAGATGCTAAATTTGCAAATGACAGCAACAGAGTAGCATTTTACAGTAGAAAAATAAGATTAATAATTTTCCATCTATTTTGAATTGTATTTCTGGTAGTCTGGAATTCAGTACTATAGTCATTTTCTAAACTGTATGAATCCTGGGGATGGGGCCATAACTAGGTGCTCCTGTGTCTCATGCATTCCTCTCTTTGCTCTTGCTTTTCTGCCATCTCTTTGGAGAACATCAAAAGGTACTATTAAACACACTTAAGGGACTGGGGGAAAGGTTAATTGTACGTTGTCTGTGACCTTATACAAAGGACACTTTTGCCTGCCTTTTTAATTAATTAAAAAAAAAAAATTCTAAACAAAACTTTAGATATCTTTGCAGTTTCAAGTTAGAATACATTTCCAGAAACTTGACTTTACTGGTGTGTGTGTTTCTTGGCTTATAGAGCCAATTTTTTTATCCCAGAGGTGCCTTTTGTTTGATGAGGCAAAGTCCAGACTTCTTCTCCATAATGTTACATTTAGGAGATACCATGCTTTCTCTGCTCTGCAGGCCTACAGTAGAAATTACATTTTCTCTGTGGTATGACCATAATGAATGCAGAGCTGTAGGTGAAGTGTGATGACTGTGTCTTTCTACAGCATTATTACAGTGGCAAGTTGTTACAGTTCAAAATGAAAAGAAGAGGGGGAAGTTTATGGATTTTTTTTTTCCCTGCTCTAAGCACTGGTTGTTTTGTAAGGCTGATGATGTTGCATCATGTTTT